GGAGGGACAGGAGGGAGAAGGGGGAGGATGAGGGAGGGACAGGAGGGAGGAGGGGGAGGATGAGGGAGGGACAGGAGGGAGGAGGGAGAGGTTGTGAGACAGAGAGGAGGAGGGAAAGCTAAAGGAGGGAGGGAGGGAGAGAAGAGGAGAGTTGGATTCCCAGCAGCTCACAACTACCCAGAATATGTTCCATGGCATTAAATGCCCCTTTCTGGCCTGAGGTCACACACACACATACACACACACACACACACACACACACACACACACACTAACAGCAAATGATTGTGACTGTAGCTGGAGACATGTCTTTGGAGAGACTGGAGCTGTGTGTGGCCTGGGCATAGGCAGTGGACCAGAGCCTGGTGACTCTGACCAACACCCACTGGTTCCCTGGCTGGCTGCCTCCCCAAGTCATCACCACCATCACCATCAACTTCCCCCTCACCAGGATCCCCTGAACACACTTCCTGCCCTGTGTTAATCAGGGCTCTCTAGAGGAATACAACTTATAGAATATTCATGGAAAGGAGATCATTAGAACAGCTTGTGGGCTGTGGTCCAGTTAGTCCAACAATGGCTGTCAAACAATGGAAAGTCCAAGAATCCAGTAGTTGTTCAGTCCACGAGGCTGGATGTCTCAGCTGGTCTTCAGTGTTTGCCAGGATCCCAAATAAGTTAGCTCTAATGCCAGTAAAGAAACAGACTTGCCAGCAAGAGTGAGAGCAAGTGGCCAGGGAGCCAGCTTCCTTCCTCGATGTTGCTTAGCTGGGCTGTCAGCAGAAACTGTGGCTGAGATTAAAGGTGGATCTTCCCACAAAAGGTCCAGAGGAAAAGTGGCTCTTCCCACTTCGAGATTTAACTAAGAAAAAGCCCCTCCCAGGTGTACCCAGATGCTTGGGTTTTACCTAACTCCAGATGTAGTCAAGTTGATGACCCAGTGTAAAACATTACAGTCCCCAAAAGAGTAGAACCCCTCAGGCTGCTAAGAGTGAGCTTGGAACTGTGTCTCTGTTCCCTCCACAGTGGACAACTTAGCACAATTTCAGCAGAACATCTGTACCTGTCTACAGACAGCTGTACCTGCTTTTCCCTACGCAATCCACCCCTTTCCCTCTCCTCACCCCCTCACACTCCTCTGAGCACACAGCCTCACTCTAACACACCCCACCTCACCATGCTCCATCCTCTCCCTCTACAAAGCTCCCCAAAGCTCTGCTCTCTCTCTGCAACCCTCACTTCCCCACACCTTCCCTTCCCTCCATCTTACCCTCTGTTGTTCCCTCCTCTGCAGTCTTCTCCCTCTCACAGCTACCCATGATGCAGCAGGAAGCCTGGGAGACTGTGGTCAGCCTGAGCAGCTGAAGAAGGCGACCCTGGAGTCCAGATGTCGCCCAAATCCTTACACTATACGACCAGCCTTCCCACAGCTCCCTCTTTCACTTTAAGAAGGGCCAGTAGAACTAAGAACCAAATCCTTACTTTATAAAGTCCAGTAAATTTCCCTGTAGTGGAACAAAATCACTTTCTTGTCAACTTATATTCTATTGCAAATACTCAATTCTGTCTTAGTGCCAAAGCAGCCATACAGACTTTATGAATAAACAGCACTGTGTCCCAATAAAACTTTACTTTTGGATACTGAAGTTTTAATTTCATATGTTCACAGAGCACAAAATATTATTTGACATTTTACATTAAATACATTTTTGTATCAGTTCACAGGACTCACAAACACACATACCAAAAAAATCACATTCAATTTCGTAGCACTCATTTTTTTAATATCTTTTAATATTTTATTTGGGGCATTTAGGCCTGAACCTCCCTTCCAACCTCCCAACCCTACGTAGGAAAGAGAAAGTTAGTGGGAGAGGGGACACAGAGCCCTTTACTTGCCTGGCTGTTTAGGGTCAGTGGGTTCTTTAGGGCTCTATACCCATCTCCGCCAACAGCAAACAGCAGCCAGCAGTCTCCTCCAAGCCACTGCCCCCAAAGTGTTTCTCTCTGTCTGTCTGCTCCAAACTGCCACAGGGTCTGTCTCTCTGGTCTCTCCACACTGCTACAAGCCACAGGCCAACACTGCATGCCGCACGACTCTTTCTGGGCTCTCATATTGATATTCCAGGAATCCTAGACCACTCAGAGGTCCATGCAGCATGAGGCAAGAGGGAGGCCATTGCCAGCTGGCAAAAGCCACACCTGGCACAAGACAATTAACAGCTGTGGATAAACTGTAGCCCAAGTAAGATTCCACACTTAGGATTAAAATAAAAGCATATTTACTTAACATAACTGAGTTTATAAAGAAACCAAAACTTCCGTTACACAATTTGAATCCTAGATAGATAATTTTTCAAACTCTGCTTGAATAAACAATTACTATTAAATTAGGACTTAATATCAAAGAGAAATCTTTAACTTGATGAATGCTGTCTGCTCTTGGTAGTGTTGGTTTTGTTTTAAATGCTGAGAATTGCACCCAGGGCCTCACACATGTGGGTCACATCCTCTACCATGGAGCTGTGTCCTCAGGACCTAATTTCTGGACTTTACAACACATTTCCAAAAAGAGGTCATATGCTCTCTGTCTCATTCAGGGCTTCTCTGCTGTGATGAAACACCATGACCACGTAAGCAGCTTGGGGAGGAAAGGGTTAATTTCAGTGACACTCCCACAGCACAGCAGAGCATCCAGGAAGTCAGGGCAGGAACTCAAGCAGGGCAGGAACCTGGAGGCAGGAGCTGATGCAGAGGCCAGGCAGGGGTGCTGCTTCCTGGCTGGCTCCCATGGCTGCTCAGCCTGCTGTCTTACAGCACCCAGGACCAGCAGTCAGGGGTGGCACCCCACAATAGGCTGGGGCCTCCCACATCAATCACTCATTAAGAAAATTCCCAACCAGCGTTCCTACAGGCCAGTCTGATGGGGGCATTTTCTCAGTTGAGAGTCTTTCCCTCTTCCAAAATGACTGTAGCTAGTGTTAAGTTGACATTAAAAACCAGACATTAAATTTGTGAAGGAAACAGCTGGCACAATCCTAGTGCAAACTTTTATAACTCTTCTGAAATGCCACTGACAAATGGGACCATCCCAGACTAGAAAGAAAAACAACTGGACCTTGAATAAGGGCCAGCTAAGAAAGAAGAATAAGTCTGGCAATTAAGGGCTACTAACCTTGAGCAGAGGCCAGACCAGATGGCCCTCCTCAAAAGACTGGGTGAGCTTGTTTTAAGATAAGAAACCTGGGGCTGAAAAGACTGTCCTTGAAGCTGTAAGCTGCCAACTGCAAACTGCTATCTTTTCTGCTGACTAGTCAATGTAAAGGCCTGATCTTTAGGTATAAAAACTCTGTGCTTGGTATGCTTGGGTCGTCTCCTGCCTTGAAGGGGCGACCCCCATCGCGATCGGAATAAACTGCCTCTTGCTTTTGCATGGACCCCCGTCTGTGAGTCTCTTTGGGGAGGGAGCGGTACGGAGCCCCTGCATCGGGAGTGCAGGCTTTGCACCACGACCAAGGCAATTTATAGACGATGTTTTGGGGTTTACTGTGTTACCCGGAGCCCAGCAGAGATGACCACTCAGACACAGTTTACACCCTAGTGAAAGCTGTTCTTCCAGCTGACTGGAGCTATGCTTGGGTGTCCAGAGAGAGCCCCAAGGATCCTGAGCATGGGGGTTGGGATGCAGTCACCTGTACTGGCATCCTGTGCAGCAAATTCACACAAACAGGCACTTCACAGAAGTTAAGCTGCCTGGGGCCTCTTCATCTTGGGTTCCCAGGACATAGCTGAATAATTTTTCATGATATGCTCAATCAAGGATGTCAAATTCTACTTAAACTTGAAATTACTTAAGCAAAAATACAAGATGGAGGAACCCCTGCACTAAATTGCCTGTCCCAACTGCCCAGAGGGACAAGAGTCCATGATGACAGAGCAGAATCACGGTGGCTGGAGCTGGAAACCGAGAGCCTCTTCCTGAACCACAAGCAGGGAGCAGAGAAGACAAGCTGGGAGTGATGCACAGTTTTGAATCTTGCAAGCACACCCCAGTGACACACTTCATCAAGGACACACACCCTAAACCTACAGCAATCCCAAACACCACAATCAACTGGGGACCAAATATTCAAACGCCTGTGCCTATGGGAGACATTGTCATTCAAAACACTACACTTGGCTACAAAGCAATTTCAAGCCAGCCTGGTTTCATGAGAGAATGTCTTAAAAGATACATACATAGATAGATATATAGATGATAGATAGATAGATAGATAGATAGATAGATAGATAGATAGATAGATAGATAGATA